GAGATTAAGCTCTTGTTTGGTCTCCGTTATTTTAAAAATACATTTTTTCTCTCTTATTTTTAATCACACGTTTTTCAATAAAATACTATAAAACATAAATTTAAAACTTTTTCTTATTGTAAAATCTTAGGGCCTGTTTGAAAAGCCAAATTTTCCATGGAAAATGGAAAAAGAATTCCACTTTCTTGGTTTTGGTTTGTTTGATGGTCAAAATTTTCTAAGCCAATTATTTTATTGCCTCTTGCTCCACGCGCATAAGTTCCTTGTTTTTGATGAATTCATTTTCTTACCTAAAGAATTCCATCTTTTTTTCTTTTTTTTTTTTGTCAATGGAAACAAATTTCATAATCAATTGTAAAAAAAAAATTTACTTTAATGGACAATTTTCATGTAAAACAAAGTCAAACGTACACTAAATTTTGATAAAAAATAATTTTTTAGGAAAAAATTCTTTTTTCATTTTTTTTTTTTACTTTTTGACAATGGAAACAAAATTTATAACTAATTGTAGAAAAAATTATCACTTTAATAGATAATTTCCATATAAAATAAAGTCAAAACAAATATAAAATTTTAAAATTTTGTTGGGTGGAAAATTATATTAATCAAACACACTTAATTAACAATTCCCTACAAAACAATTTCTAGACAATTACTTTTCCTGAAATTCATTTTCTTTTTATCCATTTTCCACCCTTATAATCAAACGCACCCATTTTTTACTTAATTAAAAAATGTTGTTTGTATATATTAGTCAAAAGTAAGACCCTCTTATTTTTAGAGTGACAAATTTATTCTTATCTTTAAATAAAATACAAACACGACAACCCATCAAAATCCACAAGACCACGACTACTCAATCGTTGTCGTCACTTCCCAAGATTTAGCTTCACAACAGTATCGGCAAACATTTTTGTATCCTCCTGCATTCCCCTATGTTATATCCACTATATATGACTCCAAAATAACAGTGTAAATCTTTCCCTTTTTGTTACACACTTTTGAGAGACACCATAGCATTTTCAAGAAGCTTTCTATTTTCAAAAATCATATTTAGCAGTTTAGAGAATATTTATAAATTTCCCCTATTTGAGCCACATTAAAATTTTCGTTCTCATTCTTTTATTCATTTTCAACAACATATTTTTTAATAAAATAATATTTTACATTACATCAATAATTTTTCATTCTTTTTCAGCCACACATTCTCCATCAATCTACTATTCCAAAATAATGTGGCTCAAACACATTAGAGAGAAATTTTTCAAATATTTTAACACTCTTTATTTTTAACACTTAATTTTACTACTACAAAAAAATATTTATTATTTTTTTCATATCTTTTATTTTCACCAGCTCACCTACAAATTATTATATTATTTTTCTCTATTGAAATACTTTGAATATTATTTTTAAAAATGTTAATTTGCAGAATCTGTTAGAACATAATTTTAAAAGCTAACTCTTTAAGAAATAGAGAATCTTATATTTAAATAGTCTATTAAAAATGCTCTTCCATGTAAATAATATTCAATGGTGACTCATCTTTAAGATGTTGCATACCATCCATCATCCGTCAAATTCCATTTTCCTCTTTACTAACGTGTCAGACCAAAAAATCTAGGCAACATATTCATCTGTTAAAAAATGATAACTCGACGAAACGATATGTTTCATTACTCACCTAACTAATGATATGGTCATAGTTTACTCGTCGAATTTCAAATTGTTTCCCAATGATCATTCATCTTTGAGACGTTGTGCTCCATTCATCATCCACCAAATTCAAAGTTTTGCCGATCACGCGTTTGTCTTGATCGACAATATTTTCAATCGTATCAATCTGTTTATAATACATTTGTATATTGGTTGCAATGACGGTTTGATCCAAGCAAAAAAAAAGTGTATAAAGATAAATATAGATATAGATTGTATTTATTGAAAAATAAAAATAAATGGGACAGTAAACGCGACAAAGGATCACCCCTTCTCTTGCCCTGTTGCGATCTATAAATCTGAAGCGGGAAGACAGGAATTTAGGAAGAGAGAGAAATAATGGGTTCATAGTTTAAGAAATGAAGTGAACAATCAAATTTTAAACTAGGGGTATTATAGTCATTTCTTGTGGTATTATATTTTCTATGGGGTTAATTCACCAATGATCACCCAACTTTTAGTGTCACCATAATCACTCAATTTTGATTTTATTTCACTATCATCACTCAATTTCATGTAACGTTTCATCACCGACCACCTAATTAGGCTAATTTTATATAACATCTCGTCATGACCAACGAATTTATTTTCACTAATTTTAAAATGGGTAAAACGATAACTTTGTATTATATATATAAAATAATTTTTTTTAAAAAAATTTAATTTTGAAAATGTTTACTTTAAAATATGTTTTTATTTTATTTTTAAAAAGTTTTTTTAATATAAGTTTTTATTTTATTTTATTTTTTT